CACAGTCTGTCTCCTTAAACCATTTGATCTGCATGGCAATGGCACTGATTTTTTTTAGACAAGTGACAAGGAACAATGATTTCAGACCTCATAGAAATCTGTGCTTCTTGGGCTGTTTGAGTAACAACAAGCTGAAAATCATCTGTGAGGAAAAGAGAGAAAGATGCACTCAAACAACACTACTTTTACTTACAAAAACAAAACACAAGTAAAACTGATGAAATGTAAATGATTTAGGAAAACTTACCAATGTTTGGGTTGCTCATGTAATTCTAATATAGATGAAAACAAACACAGTGTAAGAAATTTTACAACAGTGCTAGTTTTTAACAATGTAACAGTATGAGAACATTGTGGGATGAATACTGATGAATAATTCATTAATCTATGCTTAATTTATTAATGAGTCAATGCTGTGATGAAGACTTTAATTCAATAGTGTGAATGATTGTATGAACTGTATTAATTTGCACACATACCCCATGCTGTTTCTTATCTGAATCATGATGTGATGTCTGGCTTAAATATATGATGCAGGGGGGGAAACAACAACACATGAACACTCAAGACACAAGTCTTAAGATTACACAAGTTATATTACATTTATATTTTATGGAGGTGCAAATTGCAATTATGACGAGGTGGACGTTTACAATGTGGAGATTTTACTTACATTTGGTTCCCTCTCTTCTTGTTTTATCCTAAGATGTAAATAATACAATGAAAGTTTTATTATTTCACACTGTCTGGCCTGTATTCTCAACTATATTTACAACTGAATATTCCATCATAATACAGGTGGTCAGAGCTTACAAAATTAAATCAGATCCTACTTAAATAATAATAATAATTTCGTATTTTAAAGAGAAAGAGAACTCAAGAAGAACTGCAAGCAGGAAGCTGATTGTTAAAAGGCAGTTTGTCTTTTAAAGGATTAGTTCACTTCTGAATTAAAATTTCCTCATAATTTACTCACCCCCATGTCATCCAAGATGTTCATGTCTTTCTTTCTTCAGTCGAAAAGAAATTAAGGTTTTTGAGGAAAACATTCCAGGGTTTTTCTCTATACAGTGGACTTCAGTGGGGTTCACTGGGTGGAAGGTCCAAATTGCAGCTTCAAAGCGTTCTACACGATCCCAGACGAGGAATAAGGGTCTTATCTAGCGAAACGATCGGTCATTTTCTAAAAAAGAATAAAAAACGATATACTTTTTAACCTCAAACGCTTGTCTCAATGTCTTGAGTAGCTCTGCAATGCGCATGCGTACTCTGTGCAGTCCCATTCGAAACAGTTGGGGTAGGTCGAAAAACTTCCATCTCATTTTCTCCTCCAACTTCAAAATCGT